GGTGGGGTGGAGGGTCTCTCTTGAATGACCACTGTGGATCTCAGAACTGTGGGGCAAAATTAACCTCATTTTAGTCAGCTAACTTATTGCTAGTGCAACTTACTAAGAAGGTCAGTTCTCACAGTGCTATAGGTTTTAGGAAAATGAAGACTTAATAATGTACAGGAGTAATCTGTTTGCAGATTTAGAAAGAAACACTTCATTGATTTAACCTTTCAACTTCTGTTAGCAATTCTTCTAGCCAGATTCTGAGGTAGGTCATTATATTCCACTTCCCAAAGCCAGTGGAGGGTTCACTGAGGAGCGGTAGTCCCCTTTCTTCCTTTTGTTAACTGTGGTGTTATTTTACTGTCGGATTTATAAATTGACATCATCCCATGTACAATTTGTGGATTCTGTGAGAGAAAGTGCTGTTAAAATCTAACATATTGCATCACATTTGTTTTAAAGGATAATAAAACTGCTTTATATTGGGCAGTTGAAAAAGGAAATGCCACAATGGTGAGAGATATTTTGCAATGCAATCCTGATACAGAAATATGCACAAAGGTAAATAGTTAGAATTCTAATCGTAGATATACCAACGTTTATTATTCCAAGTCTGTTTTCCCATTTCTTCTAACTGAGTGGGTTTAATACTATAATGTCACGTTTCATATTTTGTTAAAAATAGAGACAATATGTTTTGTTTTATTAGGTAATATCAGCTTTGTCTTTCTATGCTAAATGATCATAGCATGTACATGTACTACATATGTATGCTTGTATAGTCATCCCTTTGTTGGTAGACACCACAGTGCTGAGCAAGAACAACTCAGCAGGGTATCTGCCTCCTGAGTAAGTATGTCTCTCTTCCCTCCCTCACTGGAGATTTACCAGGACTACTGAAGGAAGGGGACTGTGGTGGGAAGGAAAGAGAGACAGTACCAATCCCTGAATTTTAACTGATAGCCAGAAGAATAAATGGTAGTGTACACTATTCATTCATACCATGCCTACATAGCAATGGTTTATCTTTATCCCACAATATCTAGTATACTTGCTACATTGCAAAATGATGCTTTTTTCGTAGTGCCTGTGGAAAGGATTTTTTATAATGAATACATTTAATCAGTTTGTTTCTGAATTATGAATGTCAGGAGAAATAATGAAGCCATATTTTTATGTAGTGGCACTTCCTATAAAAGTGCTCCCTTTAACAATAAAAGAATTAACTAAAATAGTACAAGTTATGATTTGTCTGGGAATGGCATATAATGTTTTTTATATTTTATGACATATGGTGTAAAAGATTCTTTTTGGGTTTTCTTCATTTCCCCCCCCACCTTTTAGGATGGAGAAACACCACTTATAAAGGCAACAAAGATGAGAAATATTGAAATAGTAGAGCTTTTGCTGGATAAAGGAGCTAAGGTTTCTGCTATAGACAAGGTAAAGAAAGTTTCATATTTAACTTTATTTTTTCTTACCAAATTCCCTATATCTATATCCCATCTATAGGGAAGACATTTTTTCTGCCCTTGGGTACATACTTCGGCTGCTATTTCACTGTCCTCTGAAGGGTTAAAGATGGAATATTAGGTGGGATACACTTAGTGCTCTTTGGTACTGAGAATTTCTCAGCTGCCTGGTTGGGAAGTTTTAGTTTCATAGTTGTTAGGGGCTGGAAGGGACCTTACAGAACATTGGGTCCAGTCCCTCTGCACATGAGCAGTCTTGCTCAGTTGCTTAGGATAAAGTTGATCATTAGGCCTGGGATGTAGATTAGTATGGCTATATGGTTTGTTTACCTTTGTCCTGACATGGTTATATATTAACAAATTTCCTGCTCCTGCTGGGATCCAATTCGTTAGAGGTCCCTTAGGTCTGTTCTACAGTCTTGTGCTGTTAGTAATTTTCAAGGCTTTAGGTTTTTTTTTACCTGTAATGCTTCAGACATCTGAAATTAATATACATTGAAATTAATACATCCTGGTTGTCCAGGAATATGGATGGTACACTCCAGTACTATATTCATAGTTTTTTCGTAAATGTGAAGTGAATTATCAGTGCTTTGTTCAGTCTGATCCACCCACACTTTTACTTCTCATTTTGACCTCTTGCTTTTCTCTAGTCCTTCCCCTCACAATACAAACATGCTGTAGTATCTCGTGTCTTGGGGAGGAGGTGGGAATTGGAACGTACTTGCCTCTCTAACTACTGTCTTTTTTTCACTTTTCCTTTCTAGGCTCATTGAATGTGCTATCTGTAGTTAATATATGGGGTCACTTTTTCAGCTCCATCCTCAGTCCTCTCCAATCCATGTTATATACATCTTGCCATGCAGTCCGCATTGATGTATTCCTGGCCACGTTTCAAAAGAAGTTTTCTCTCGCCATCCTTCTTGATTTACCAGCTGCTTCTGTTCCAATCAGCTGATTCTTTGGGAAATTTTGTCCTCTGGTTTCTGTGACTATTGTGTTCTCCTCTCTTACCTAATTGGTCCTTTTGTATGTTCTTCTATATCTCCTCTTCATCTCCTTCCAGCTTTCTCTGATTCTGTTTTTTGGTTGTTTTTTCTTCTTCCTCTGAGTAATCTTATCCATAAATTTTTCTTTATTCTGATGACTCATAGCCAGTCCAAGTTCTGCCCAAACTAATCTCAGTTTGTCTCTGCAGTTTCTCTATGGATGCCTCTCTATTACCTTAAGAAAAACATAGTTAAAATAGAGTTCTTAATGTTCCCACTCCACTTCAGACAGAATCCTGTTACATTCAGGCGTTGTTTAAATCTTCCAGCTTCTTTTTAGATTTTTTTAGAGATGGCCTTTCCCAGTTATATGCATAGCTCAAACTCTTGTCCAGGCTCTTATGCCTTGTTTCATTTACTGCTACATACCCTTCTTTAGCCTTGACAAATCCAAAGTTGACCAGCACTCATCATTCAGAGCACTGCAGTGAAGATTATCTTCCTAGTTGGTTGGTTTTGTGTGTCATTTTTCTCCTTGTACCCTTCTGCTTACTCTGCTTTTTCTGTGGCAGTGTTGTGCAGCTAGTTAAATTTGCTAAATTGCAGCTCATGGGGTGTGGCTGCCAGAGCTACTTCATTGACACAGATCTACTGCTGCTTGCTTCCCATGCCACCATGGAATTTGGGCTCTTTTGTCACCATCAGCAACTAAAATTGGCAGCAGAAGAAAAGTGTGGGGAGAGCAGTGGTCACATTTAGCCCTTGGGTTCTGGAGCTGCACCAGTGTGTTGGCCTAGCAGCCACTCACTGGTGGTAGGTCACCCAGCCTGCAAGAAGCCCTTGGAGCCAAATGACTGGACCCTGCCCTGCTCTATGGCACCAAGTCACTTGTCTTCACACCCAGGACCTTTCATGAATTAACTTTCACTGAAGGTGGGAGTCAGCATCTCAGTCAGTCCATGGTGTCAGCTTTCATTGTCCACTAATGTTAAATATGTGAATTAGGACATTTTCTCTTTTCCCCCATGCCTTTCCTTGTGCTAGGTAGAGGCTGCCCTTAAAAAATTCACAAAGCTACTTCAATGTTCTTCTGTAAATCTTTCCTCAGAGGAAGAGACTATACCTATTTTTAAAGGGTCTGAAGTTACTGATAGAGAGGATCTGGTTTCACAAAGTTCAAAATTAAGATATACATTCTATAAGATAGAAAAATGCCATTAAAAGAACCCTTCTGCCTTGCCTGCTTGTCTGTCTTTTGATTGGTTGTGGGGCATATAGAAAAAGGAATTTGTCGTTAAGTTTTTTTAAAAACTTACTTTGTTTAAGCGAGCTACACGATATTTTGGAATGTATTACATTCAACATTTTTTAAATTTGATTTAATTCCAGAAAGGAGATACTCCGCTTCACATTGCCATTCGGGGACGGAGCCGTAAACTTGCAGAACTCCTTTTAAGAAATCCCAAAGATGGCAGACTGCTTTACCGGCCCAACAAAGCTGGGGAGACACCTTACAATATTGACTGTAGCCACCAGAAAAGCATTTTAACTCAGATATTTGGAGCCAGTAAGTGCCAGCGTTTATCTTTCCTTTTTCTTAGAAATAACAACCTTCTGTTCAAGATGACTTGATCAGATACAGAAACAGAAAAGCAGTTAACATAACTGAAACTAAATAGTAAATGAGAGCTTAAGTTGCATTGCATAATCTGTTTTTAGGAAATAAATAAGGTGTGTGAAGAATCTTCTAGGACTGTTTCCTTTTCTCCCATTTTATGTTTAGGTTTGAAGATAGTTTAAAGATGTGAGGATGGCATTTCCATTAATCCAAGTCCTAATGCCGGTAGAACAGCTTGTGGGTTGTTGTTTTTTTTGTCTAAGAGGCTAATCTTTTATAATTCCTTTGCATTTGTGGGTTTGGCTATATTTATTTCCAGTTTTGTGAAGAATGAATATGCTTTAATTTACTGTGAGTTTTGAGATATTGAAGCCAATTATAGTGAATTGGATTTATAGTGAATTGGCAGTTACATGACTGATGAGCTATCTCCCATGTTTTTAATGTACAACATATACATTTATGGTTTGCAATACCATCAAGCAAGACTGTATTAATGATTTTTATTCAATAATTTTCACTGAATTATTTTTCAGTTTACAAGTGAATTTGTCATTACATATAACTCTGTGTAATGTACAGTATGAGAAAAATATTCTGTAATGCCATATTTTGTTACAGGACACTTATCTCCTACTGAATCTGATGGTGACATGTTGGGTTATGACCTCTACAGTAGTGCGTTGGCTGATATTCTTAGTGAACCAACCATGCAGCCACCTATTTGTGTAGGACTTTATGCGCAGTGGGGAAGTGGGAAATCTTTCCTGCTCAAAAAACTGGAAGGTAAGTTTTCTTGTAAATTTAGGCAGATATTCTGTAAAATATAGGGATTTATTATATGTAGGCTTGTCAGGATTTGATTTTTATCAATAGATATAGATTCTACCTGACACTTGCAGACTGATAGAAAAATATTTCCATCAGTAATCACTGAAACTTACATTAAAAAATTATAATCCAGGATGGAAGTAAGGAAATTTCGGACAGGAGGCCTTGTGTACACATACAGTAGCTGCTGTAGGAACTGTGGGTTTTGCCAGTAAGGCTGTGTTGGGAGTGGGGTTTCATAGTTTCTAGGGTCGGAAGGGACCTAAGCAGATCATCGAGTCCGACCCCCTGCTGTGGCAAGAAAGAGTACTGGGGTCAAATGACCCCAGCAAGGTGTACATCTAGCCTCCTCTTAAAGACATCCAGGGTAGGAGCCAGCACCACTTCTCTTGGAGGTTGGTTCCAGATCCTAGCCGTCCTGACCGTGAAGTAGCGCCTCCTGATATCTAGCCTAAATCTACCCTCTGCCAGCTTGTGACTGTTATTCCTGGTCACTCCTGGTAGTGCTTGGGGGAACAGGGACTTCCCCAGTGCCTGCTGGTCCCCCCTGACTAGTTTGTAACAGGCCATTAGATCACCCCTCAGCCTTCTCTTTTGGAGGCTGAACAGGTTCAGGTCCTGTAGCCCCTCCTCATGGGGCCTGCCCTGCCCCTGATCATGCGAGTGGCTCTCCTCTGGACCCTCTCCATGTTGTCCACACCCCTCTTC